ACAGCACAGGTCCCAACACCGATGCCTGAGGAACGCCACTCGTTCCTCAATACAATATCAACACAATACATGAACATTCTTTGAAATGTCTGGATTTATAAAAGCTCTAGCTACTGGTGAATAACAGAAAGGCATTTTCATAGTACTGTAGTACTCCCCTCATCGCTGCAAGCTGGGACGCGGTACCCCAGGAGGCATCGCTGTACTCTTGCCCTGTTCGAACACTGCTCCATGCTAACATCTGCTGCTGCCCTCTGTGGCAGACATGACATGAGGCTTGGTAAACCTTCTAACTAGCTCACGGTGGTTGCTGTTCTCCTCACTCTAGCTGCACATAAGAAGCTTGAATTAGCAAATTAGAGAAGGACATAATAAACACTAAACATGCCATCCCTCTCACCCACTCTGTGCTACACATTCCTCAGTACGTGTGAAAACTGAGCATGTATTCCCATTAAATTGTAACTGAGAATTATGGATGGACAAAACTTCCGCAGGATGACTGTTCTGCCTGATGCCCCCACGAAGATGAAAGCAATCCAGGCTAGGGGTCAGAAACGCTATGGGAAAGACTGTCACTCAGTAAACTGGGAAAATCTGCTCTGTATATGTAGGCATAAAGAATTAAATAGAGACAGCCAATTGTTTTTGGACCCCACACTTTAAAGATATCCTATAAGCCAGCTTTGGATGATTTAACTGCCTTTACAAAGCCCATCCATTACTGTTTGAATTAGCATAATTTCAATGGAAACTTCAGGACAACTTGGCATTAGATTCAAGTTCTAGCCACAAAGACCAAATTATGGAGTCCTCAACAGGAGCTCACACTGAGGAGGTTTTCCACTTCACATCTGCACCTAACATAAAGTACACACATAAATCCAGACAATTAATGCAAATAAAGCTGGATGGACACCTAAGGTGAAGTCAGCTTGGTGTGTGTTTGTTTTTTCCTCCCACAAAGAGTTTAGGGTGACACTGAGGGGTTAAAGATGTCAAATGAAGTCCGTTTAAATTCAGATGTTGGATCCCAAGTCACTGGGAGTAACATAAGAAAGAAAAGTTTTGAATTAACCTGATAATAAGCCCTTCAGCTCGCTGATAAACGAAACCCAATTCACTACAGATTACATTTCAGAGAATTGTACTCCCAAGCTCTCACAGACCTTCCATGATTTTTAAATGCCCAGGTGCCTTACGTCGTTTTGAAAAGCCAACTCTGCAAGGTTAAAAATGTCTGTGTGAGTTAACAGATTCCTCCAGGACAAGGCGCTGGTCCCAGACAGCCATTTATCAGTGTCTAGACGGAAACTTCCTTCAGCTTTGTTTTGCTGCCCTAACAAAACAGGGGTTTTCCCTCCCTGCCTGTTGGACAAAAGTGAGATATTTTGAACCAATGCTTCGTCACTTTTTGCTCTTCTGTTTTTTATTACAGCACTGGAAAGTGAATGCATTAATCAATATAACCTGAGAAAAAAATGTTAAATGAGGAAGTGTTACCAAAGACAGCTGCTTTTAGGGAGGTACATTCAAAAGGGTATGGCTTTACCACCTTCCACAGCCAGAAGTAATTGTGATACCATTATCAAACATCTTATCAAAATTAGGCCACCTATGATGGCTTCAGATAAATCCCACTCACCAATCTTTTTCTGACTGAATAAAAATAATCATCCCAAAAATACTGAATCTGATGAAACCTCGGGACTATGGGCCTTATTGTTTCCTTTCTTAAACGAAAGATTCCACAGAGAAACAGTCCTTTAAATGACAGTAGCTCTGTCTCAGCTGCATCTCTGACAGTACAATTACTACTAATTGTAATGAAATACACTGCACACAGACTCCCATAAGACCATGCAAAATAAAGTCAGGGTCTCCCTGCAGCTCTCTTCAGAAGAACAGAAGAGCTTCACCCAGGAGAAGACTTCAAACCTGCCTCTTTGCTAGACAGGTGGGAGGTCACTGCCATTCTGCCATTACAGTCTGTAGCGATCGTAAAAGGAGAGGGAATCAGCAAAAGCAATTCATTCATCAAGATGAAAGTTGATCCTTTCTTTGGGTTCAGCTTTTAGAAGCTCTCCACACATTATTCCCTTCCCTCCATTACCTTCATCTTTCCTCACAAACACAGTCTAAATTAAGTCCTTTATTTTTCATTTAGAAGTCATAGTGGATTTTTTATTTGTGATTCTTACATGGTGATGCAGCACCATCTCTTCTGCAAGAAGGAATTTGGGCAAGGGTGGGCAAACAGAAGGAATGAATATCCCCGTGTATGTCCATTTTGGAAACCCAAGCACTGTGAACTGCACCCACACACAGAGGGCATCTGTCCATCGGTGCCTCCATCACCAGCGCTGGAACACTCTGGGTGAAAAATGATATTAACGCCTCGCTCGGTGTTTCTCTACACACAGGTCTTCCAGAGGAAAGCTCTTTATAAGTAGCCACCCTTTTTATACGTGGGAAAGCTAAGGCATGCAGCAAGGACATGCTTTGCTGATGGTAACGCAGCTGGCAAGCGGTAGAGCCAGGAAGGCCGGCCACCACAGCCTCACCACGTACAGCCCCACAAAAGACACTGTTTACTGTTCAGGCAGAGTCAGAGAAATAAAATATGACTAGCAGATGGTAAGAGTGGCACACAACATGCTGTCTGATCGAATAAGCCTGCGAGAAGCTCAACAGAGCTGCTTGAGCAGCCAGGCTGGGCTGGAGGCAAGTGACAGAGTGTGCCCTGATGTCTGCAAACAGTCCCGCTTTTACTGCTGAGGCAGTGGCATAAAACACTGTCCTTCTTAATGACCCAGTGCAGCCCACCTACAAGATATCCTCTGAATCAGGGAAGTGAGTTAGCCGTGCTTCAGATGTTAGGGTGAACTCTAAAGGGTTATCATAAAAGTTAATGTCACAGTAGCTCTTACACAATAAATATTGATTTTTCTAATTTCAGGCCTTCCAGAGAGGACTAATGCTTAACATTTAACCAGGGGAAAATTACATTTTATGTCTCATTTCCAGGTGAATCATTAGAACCAGAAAAGGAGACTGGGGGTGGGAGGAAATTTGAAAAATGCCCATGTATCAGACAGCCTAAACTGCCTTTGCTGAATGTGAACAATATTCTTCAGCTCATTTGAGAATGATGCCATAGAAGGATGACAGAAATGACTGTGGGTAGGAAGATAGAAGGTTTTGTGGGGTTTCTTGTTGTTTTTTTGTTTTTCTTCTTAGCCAAAATTGAATCCTTCAAGTACTATTGCCATCCCATTCCTTGTGTAAAGTAAATCATTTTTTACACCACATACAGTGCTGTAATCTACGTAAACAGCTGTCAGGGCATTTCTGGAAGAGAGTGATTTTATTCACTTCATAAAACTCTGATCAGACCAATATGTGAGCAGCAAAACAATATATAAAGGCTCAAGCATCCATTTTAGCTTTATGCAGCCATTTTAGAGCCTGAGGCTTTGTTTCGGCTTTGCAATCCACCATCCAAGTATCACCAAAACACTTTCATACTGCCAGCATTCACCAGCAACAGATTAGCTTGGGGATCTGTCATATACGGGCAAATCTCTGTCCACTGGGAGAAAAGTCGTGCTGTTGTGCTGGCACTAACTACCACAAAAATACTGTAAACATGAAGACAAGGCAGATCACAGGGACTGAAACACCTGTCCTGAATTCATAAACCAGATTGTCTAGCCTCGTAGATTCATGGCTTTCAAAGAGAACGAAAAACTAAACAATTAATAAACAAAATATTTGCAGTCATTCTGTCCAGTGAATCTGGACATTACAGAAGGCTTCAGGGTATAGAAGCCTCATATTTTAGAAATCTCATAGCTTACTATTGCAGGCTGACTCCAAATTGCTGGGTAGGTAGAGGTGGCCGTGGTGGAGGAACCTTAACCACAGGTGGCAGTTTTCCCTTCTGTTTTCCCCGAAGATTTTCATCATGTCTGCAAAAATCAAGAAATCGTTGATTTTCTGTGCGCCACTGCTGACAAACTATGCATGTATACCAGCAGTACTGTTTGTGATGATGATGATCTGACACTATTATATATGCTGCAGGTCTTACAGAACTTGCATTTAAGTTAAGCATTAGGGAAATCAAGTAGTATTTGTGGTAGAATACTTATGAAAGACACAGAAGATCTCTTTTGCTTCAGCCAGTGGAGTATAGTAATAAATGTGTCCAAAAAATAGGAACACACTATAATTTAACAGCAAAATTAAAACCTATTTGCTACTCAAAATACAACTCCCCTTTCTTTGGCAACCATGCAATCCAATTTATAACCTTGGAGCTGTAAGGTATTTTGTGTTATTCCATATTTACACAAAAGGTGTGTAAAACCCACCAGGCATCAGTAAGAGTCGTAATCAAAGCTTCCAGTTACTTTCATTCAGCAGTGACATAAAATCACTTCCTGTCAGTACATCAAAGCATTTCCACGTAAAGCACTGAGTCGAAAAGACTGTTATTGATACTAATACTGGGACTTGACAATTCCAGCCCTATGCATTTCTTTTTCTCTTCCCTCCCCCTCTTCAGTACACCTCCCTAACACACAGACACTCAGGATATAAAAGTAATGCATCCACTAACAACAGGAGTATCCCTGAGGTTTAAAATCAATCAACACTTTGCTGACTCTTGGCAAAAGGAAGTCACTTAATCTGTTACAAGATGCAAGCAAAGAGGGCAGGATTACATTTCTGCCCATGAACATCACGTGATACTCGTAAACAGTCAGGACGTACGGATTGGTTTTGTTAACATTCACACAGAAGCTGCAGTTACAGTAAGAAAATGTTCGACAACTGAGATGGAGATATTCCAAATCTGTAGAAAACTATATTCTCCTAACCCCTGACGCACTTCATCACAGCTCTGATGGCAGTGCAGCTTTCAGAATTAAATCCACGCAAGCACAAACAGGTAAATTCGACTTTTAACCACTGAAGAAATAGGATTAGATTCTGCTTGGAATACAGTGAACAAGATGGAACTGTACCCAAGAACAGGTGAGATGACGTGATTGAAACTTGCCACGTACCGTATGACTTCTTGAGGGATATTTAGCTGGTCATATTTGAGATGCTCTCTCAGGTCACTTAAATAGTTCAAGTAGGTGACTTTTTTCCCAAATTTATGGCTTTTAAAAAAACAAAATCACAAAGAAATATAAAAGTCAGCATAGGACGAACATTTACGAAGGGTTTAAGCTTCTATTACAAAAATCTAAGTGCTGATGCAACTCAAAATTAGACCGTAGTTGAAGCAGCAGGAGACATAAGATGTATTTCATTTCATATGATCAAACATATATAGTGCATGCCTGAGAGTCTGATTTGAATAAAAAGAACTGACTTCCATCTGAATCTTTTGTGATTTGCATAGATATGGAAAACACTGCTTTAAAAGCCACTGGAAACCAGCTTTCACACAGCATTAGAAAGCTCACTAAAAGAACGGCTAACTCTGGAGAAAACATTACACGGCCAACAGAACAACATGTTTGCGTTATTTAGGTATCCCTCCCTGCCAAAAGACAAAATAATAGGGCTGCAGACACAAAATATCAAGTAGTAAAGCAACAGGGAAGATTTTCAAACCGTGGATAGTGTATTCCCTTGAAGTGCTGGGCCATCAGCTTTATCTAGGGCTGGAGAGCTTCTAGGAAACATCCTGAATAATAAAGGTTTTTCTAAGAGCGGCACAAAACAGGCTTCCAAACTTGAAGCACCAAGGCAGTTAAGTCTCGAGTTTCAGCCAGAATGCACTGCTTACAGGCTGAGGTGCTCCAGCAAGGTCCAACACACGTTTATGAACATGGGCTGAAATAATTTCAGATTTTCCCACAGCACAAAATATTTGTCCTGCAATGAAGTGTTAAGGAAAATAAGAGGTGTTTATGGTAAAAAGCCTACTTGCTGCAACTTACTTGGATAGTAAAACCGGAGAAAAATTCTCTCTCCTCAATGAATTTACTCCTGGATCCTCAAATACACACGCACACACTCCATCTAGTGGGAGATGGTACAAATACAAGGCACTCCGGCATTCGAGAAGCTTTTAACTGAAATGAGCCAAATTTTGCTAACAGGCAAGCAATTCTGGGACGGTCAATACGTGTACAACTTCAGAGCTCTTCGGTGTGTCTTCTGCCCAAAACAGCCCGCGATTTCAATGTCTCACCTAAGCCACGGGCTGGCACAGAGTCCCCGTAACTAACCACCCCGGCAATACAAGACGTTACAGGATGCACCACTGGTAACAGAGTCGTGGGCAAAGAGGAGTTACTGCCGATCCCTAAAAACGCCACGCGACCACCTGAGCGTGCAGTAGTTTGATGACAGGTGGGCGACTTCTGTTATCTCACACATACAAATGTGCTCTTCTTACTGGGTTGGTTTTTTGCATTTCGGGAAAAAAGTACGTTTGACTTAACGCGTTACCTTCTTGCTTATCTCTTTTGGGACTGGAAAGTACATCAGTCAACTTCTGGAGCTTGAAAAAATCTTAAGTATTTGCATTTTTCTTAAATACTTTCAAATACAAGTATGCTACAATACTTATTACTTTTGTTCTTCACTCTAATAATTTCTGTCATTTGTCCAGTTCTTGGCAAACCCCGTGTTTATGTAAAAGTACTCAGGCCGTGTCCTAAGAGGTAACAAATGCACTAACAGACTTCTGAAAAATAAATACATGTTTCTTGATAATGAAATGTATTTTAAATCTGCAATTTTAATTGGAAACACTATCTAAAAATGTGTCTGGGCTGTAATTCAGCAAAGCTAGGAAACAGGAAGTCCAGAGGATTCTTTTCCTTTCTTTTCATGAACTTGGGTTTAATATTGACACTTAAATAAAAGCATGATCTGCTAAGGTAAGATTATTCTGAACTGGGAGGAAAACAGGATTATTCTAAACTGTGAACAAATTTTAAATTGTACTATTCTAGTAAATTAACAATGTTAATAAGTTCTAGTATTCAATGAGACTACAATTTAGGCAAATTGTACATGGGCACTTTCACACGTCAGCTTTCAATTTATGTCCTTACATTTTCCTTTACTTGACAACCAAACTTGAGTCAACCCAGGCCAAAAATGCATGTGAGCATTCACTACTTAAACCATTTTAAGTAGTAAAAAGTGGTTTTTTCTTAGCTTCAGCTAATTCCTGCCTTCTGGCTTATGGACCTTTTCAGAGTTTTCTTGTACTTTCAATTATTTTTCAGTGTCATTGTACAAATATATCTGCTTCTGTTGTTCACGTATTTTAACAACAGAGAGCAGAGTGTTGCTAAATTAGACTCAAATCAAGTATCCAGGTATACACTGGTAAAAGTCAAGCACAAACAAGAACAGCTAATCCTGATGAAAGCAGGGTATTCGGGTCAAGATGATGATGCATCTAAAATGACAAGCTCTGTTTTGAATTTTCTAGGCTAGATATGAACGCTTAAGCTTATCAGGATCACCCATTTTCACATCCAAAGTAAACAAGGATTTAATTGCAAAGAAAATTGTTGCAAGAAAAAAATAAATCCTCATTCCATTGAGTGCATTAACACATACAGATTGAAAATAAATAGTGTCTCCAAACTGCTTGCCTGGAGCTATTCCCAAGGAATTCTCATCTGCATGTGAGAAAGATATTGCTTTCACCTGAGTGTTGTAATGTACATCCAGTTTTTCTGGGTTTATTGTGGGTGGGTTTTTTGGGGTTTTTTTGTGTGGGGGGGTTTTTTGTTTGTTTGGTTGGTTGGTTTGGTTTTTCTTTCTTTCCTAGAAAGTTCATACCCATCCTACAGCAAAGCAGGAACAAAGAGAAATCCATCTCCATTCCTAAGATACAATCAGCTGCTGGACCTCCTGCTTCTGTCACACTTTTCTCACTATTGGTCTACATCCAGGACCTCTGGCATTTCTTTTACTGCCAGTTAAAATAAAGATCTGTAGTCAGTTGTCTTATTTCAAGAATAGCATATTCTGAAATGATTTTTAGCTGTCACTACTTTTTTATTTTCATACATTTCTTACATCTTCTGATCTGTCTAGAAGTTAAACTTCCCCCTTCTAACTAATTAGCTTTCTCGAGTCAGTAATTGAATCAACTGCGAGTTACTGTAATGGACATTTTCAGTTGGTTCATTATAGTTTCTCAAGAGAAGCTGGTTTTGCCCTTCAGCCCTGAGGACATCCATAATGTAAGCTACAAAACGTTAGAATTACTGTGAAAGTGACAGAAGTTCAGAAGCAGAAAGTAAGAAAGCTTAGCCATCCTAGCACTTAGCAATATCTGCCCATTGTTGACGGTTCCTTGTAGGTAGCATCAATTTTTACCACGCAAAGGAAAAGACAGCACCAGTAAAATATATCCACCTTCACCATTATATCCTCCATCTCAAATTCTTATGGGCACTTCAGGGCTTATCCATTAACTTTGAACACACAAGTAGTATCATTCCTATTTATCTCAGCACTTGAGATCAGACTGAAGGTTAACAATTTATTATCTACTTTACTGGACCACCTAGTAACTCCAGTCACAGATCCAGTTCTATTGTGCTAAATGCTGTCAAAGAGGACTAAAAAGTCTTTTATGGTCCACAGAATAAGTGTTTTAAAGGGATATTTATTTTAACATACCAGTAAAACTACTATGAATTGAGACTCCCTTTTCTTAGAAAGAACTCTACCCTGTTATTCATACCCAAGCTTAAGCTCACCTTAGTCATTAGTTCAAGACAGTTAAAATGGGTATTGTGCTGTTACCTGACATATTTTACCTCAAGCCTTTTTAAAAGCAACTTATTAGAGAACAAACCATCCTTAAACTAAATAGGAAAATGTGTTGAATAAGCTGCCAAGTACCTTATAAGAGGTTTAAAGATATTCCACAGAATTTTTATGAAGTTGGTTGGATGTACAACATAGAGTGCTTTAAGGTTTTTCTTGTACCTAGGAAAAGAAAATGAAATCGTCATTTGAATGAATGTCATTGATGAATAACTGAATAACTCAATGGAAGGTATTGTGACAGGAACATTATACAGCATTCTTTTCAAATACATTAAAAAGACTTCATTCCAAAGAAACTGAATGTAAAATAAAAAAAAAAAACCACACCCTATTTTAAAACATGGACAGTTTGGATGATACCACAGTAGGGCAAGATAACTATTACATTCCTAACCAACATCTGCTGTCTCATAGGTTTAATAAAAACAGGGCAGAAGGGAAAATACAGGCAGAGACAACTTGAAGAAGAGTTGAGAAGGAAGTCTCAAAAAAAATCCAATATTAACAATTACTTTCATTCATCTCCCTTCATTTTCTGCTAACAGGAGGTACATGTTGGAGAAAACGTCTAAATTTTCAGATGTAACATTTACACCTAATTTTTTTTCACTACTATTTGTCCTGTTTTACTAGTAATTATGAAAGGTGAAGCCAAATGCACATTTTTTTGTATGAAGTGGTCCCCTTAGAATGTAGCAAAAACTGTTCTCCATTATAGCTCTGTGTGATTCTACAGTGTCATATCATGATACATAAACAATAGGTTCTAGTAGGCTGGTACTTGAACTGAAACCTGGCTGCAGGAAAAGACTCTGCTCTTATTCAACGCTATTGCAAAACGAAACTGAGAATGCATAATGACATATCCTGCTTTTATATATACACTGTTGCTTATTACTTTGCCAAGTTTGCTTCCCAGTAAGGAGCACCCCTCCCAAATGTTCAACATTCATTGCTAGCAAAACAATGATCACGGAAAAAAATGATAGTGAACTCTGAAGCAAACCCTTTTGTAACAGGTTATGCTAAGAGGGGGGGAAAAGGGACCAACTCTGCAACTCCAACAGCTTTTCCTTTTGGGTTTTAATTGGGCCCATAAATCCTTGGATGAAAAAGGCATTGTTTTCACAAAGCCACTGTCATACACCAGCAAACAACTACCACTGGGCAAGTGGCACCACCGTGGATAAGAACCCAAAATCAACAATAAAAACTAACAAGCAAAACACCGGAGTTGCTTCACCAAAATTTCCATTTTCAGTTTTTGTACCTTGAAGCAATGGGCATAAGCCATTGCTTCTGTGAGAAGTTTACATACTTCACAGTTTCCTTGATTACAATTAAATACCCAAAAGCCTTTACTGAGCCTCTTTGAAGGTTGTAAACCTTCAAAGCCAGATCTATCCTTCTGAAACTGTACTTGAACATTTGCTGTCACGATGCTAGCTAATTACTATCATCCTTTGTACTCTCCTCCGATCGCCCTTTCCTTTCACCCCAAAACACACACAGAAGAATTCTGCAAGGTGCTGTTTTTAGGGGGGCTGGGGGTGCCTTGTTGGTTTTTTTTCTCCCCTCTGGCTTGTACAGCTCAACATGTTGGGCTGTGAACACTGCTTCCAGCCTCTCAGTGACAGTCCGACCTGTGAATAAAACGATGGGCATGTAGTTTTGCTCAGCTACCTGGGCCTCTCTGTTCCTTTTTGGTTCTCCTGCTTGCTGGGTCGCGGGAGGGAAACCGAGAGAACAGATTTTTGGCATAAACAAGAGTCACACCATAGACGTGTAGGCATGGCAAGAGGCAACAAAGATGATATTGCCCTTGTACTGCCTCTCATGATACAGTAACTGCAAATTCGGCTTGGGATTCTCCCAGAAGGAAAACAGTATGATGCTTTATTTTCAGAAACTGTCAGTGCAAGGCAAAATCCAGTAGTCCAAATCTCTCACCAAAGGCAAAATATAAGAGATGCTTTGCCTTTCTTCTCCCTTACCCAGTCCCAGAAAGAACAGATACATTGTACTAACCATCTTAGAAACCTACTAGCAAAAATAGCCTTTCTGGCCTGTTTTTGAGCGGAGAGCAGTCAGTTAGAAGCTCCAGATAACAGCTTCCCACTGCAGTTCTGAGGGCTGCCATGTACCACCTCATCTTGCTGCTTAGTGGGTTTTAGAGTTTCAGGAAGTTATCAGGTGGGATTCAAAAGAGTCTGAGCTCTAGCACTAGATGACCAAAAGGGGTTGTGCACATCCCAACTTCAATTGTCAAAGCAGACACAGGTATTTCTCTGGGACTGCTTCCAGTCTAGCCTAGGAACACACAATAATCTTTTTCAAGGCCTCTTTTTTTGAGAGTTGCTTCTTGTTCCAGCTCCCAAATTGGAAAAATCAGACATGTATGACCCAACCCCCCCAACACACACCCACTCACTCTCAGGAAACAACTGTATTTTTGCTTTCAGTCAAGCTGCCCACTTGAGACCAATTTAAAAGTACCCACTCGCAAACACGCAGAAGACTAACTGATTCAATAGGAACTTCCAGCTTGGTTGGCAAGTGTGCAATTTCAGAGAATAAACACCAGAACTTTAGCTTCCACTATTCAAATACTACTTGTCTAGGAGCTTTGGGCTCGACTACACCCTAACCAACTAAACCATGAAGTCATGAGCTGCAGCCATTATTACTCCAAAGATCAGGCATATGCCAGCACGGTGGTCCCCTTCTGGGCTTTACATACAACCATCCACAAACCCTGCGAGACTTGTGGGATACAGACTGATAAAAACTCATCTTTCCTTTTTTTTTTGCATACAAAGTAGCCTTGGGATGATCAAAGGTTCAAACAGCACTGTGAGATAATGGAGAATGATGACTAATAAAGTGTAAAGTATCTTGTTACATAGTGCTCACACAAGGCAAAAACTCTTGGGTTTGCTCCTACTTTTTTTTATACCTTCGGATGACCACTCCAGTACTCAGTACTGCACAGAAGACACTTAACAAGAGAACCAACAGTACTGATACCACTACAAGAATTTGCGATGACAGAATTAACCCAGTTAGCTGTGGGTAGATCAGGAAAGACACTCTTCCTCCATGCAAGTTAGTTACAGGCATTACACAACTGAAAGTGAACCAAATATTTTGGAGACATACTTCCTGTCAAATTCTTTGTATGCTGTCTGTAACCATTTCAGAGATGGTTTATTCAGACTCTTCAGGCCATAGTGAAAGTAGACAACTGTATAATCGTTCTCTACATACTGGTCCAGAGTATACTTTAGGTACCTGAGGAGAAAGATAACATTTTAGTTTTAAGATGGTTTACTGGATGAGACTTTTAAAGCAGTAACTGAGAAACAAAATGTGCTATTTTTGCACAGAACGCTAGTGACTGCAAATTCATGTTTGCTTCAATGTATTTATCTAACAAGTTCATCTGCCTCTAGCAGCAGTGTTGCCAATAAATCCACATCACTGCAAAGCCTAAAATCTGGAAGAACATACTTAGTTACAGGAACTATGGCGCTCATGAATCACTAACAGATTAAGACAATATGGGACTGTGTTTTCCAATAAATTTTTTAAAAGATGCATTTTAACTGACAGTGTCTTCTATTTTGCTTTCTTCTGGTCTTTGTAAATTCCTTCCTTTTAGCCAAGCAAAAAGTGTTATTTTGACTTCCCAAAATAATAAAGAATAAATCTTGGGTTTTCCTCACAGTTTAAAACTTTTTTAATTCTCAAAAAATCCATTAGCCCTAATTACTGCCAATTACAACTTGTTATTGTAAACTGTTTTCTTGAATATATTTGCCTTTCCCTTGTTTGCACGTTGGGGACTGCGTTCATAAATAATTTCCCTTAAAACTAATGTAAAGAACTATACGACATACCCCATCTTGAAATAATACGGCATGATTGTGATGGGTTCAGGCGGGGACGAGCTGCTCTCCTGCAGAGAGCTGGCTGGCCCACGGGACCTTGTTTCATTCCATGATACATCAAGCTCAGGGGTCAGCCTGCGAGGCATGAAAAGTGGCCTAGAAGGGGTGGGAGGGCTAGGAAACAGCTTGCCGATAGCTCTGTCTCTGTTCACTCCCTGGCAGGCTATTAGCAGGGAAGCAGCATATTTTGTTAGCCTGACTGATCTGTGATGGGGGATTGGAAGTTTCTTTCTCCCTGCTCTCTGTTCCTGGGCTCTGGGAGTGGGGTTTTCTCCCTACATTTTGGGCTCGGGATTTTGGATCGTTTTGGGTTGTTTTTTTCCTTACTGAGTTTTTGCTTGCTGCTTTGGAATCTGGCTGTGCCGGTCCACGGGGGGTGAGATCCTGTATCATATGTTCTATTTTCCATTGGTTTAATTACTTATTACCAGTAGTACTGTTAGTAACTCCATAAGTTTCATTTATATAATTAAATAGTTCTTATCTCAACTTTTACGAGCTTCCCTTGTGTTTTTCCTCCGTCCCTTTTCCACTGAGAGAGGGAGGAGTGGTAGAGCGACTGGTGGTACTTAATCGCCAGATAAGGCTAAACCACGACACTAGGTCTTATAATTAAATTTCTAGGTGTTCATTCTTTTATTGTATAGTTTAAGATGCTTTTCTCTTCCCTTTCTCCTACAACTGAGAACACTGTGTGGCCTATTACACAGCTCAATGATTCAAATAAAGCAATGATGGAGGAGTACAATCTGGCCGCATCTCTTGCTGTGTCAGATTTCAACTTTCTCATGTCATTCTCAATGCTATCTTACTATTCTTCAACAGAGCCCCAGCTATTGCTCTTAATTGTATGTAAGCTATTTTCATTCAATAAAACAGACAGTTCCGTGTGCCATTTATTAGGCTGTGGCTATCTGCAAGTATCGAGGTCACTTTAACTATACACCTTTCCACGGAAAAGCACATAACTTCACTGTCACACTGTACTCCCACAGTCTCATTAATCTCCTTATTCCCTCAGCATACTGTAGATCTTAGGCTGTGAATAGCCTGGAACAAGGACTGCCACTGTAATTATTATAATGCTGTTTTGACTACTTACTTAAGTATTAGTAGTATTTTAATGCAGGAAGTAGTAGTAACAGTCATTCAGGACTTTTTTAAAAAGTGTTTGGAACTAAAATATATCTAAACAGATAGTCTTACATACTGTAACGTGACTGATGTTTTATTTTACATGTAAATTCCTTGGCACATTGCATCCAGACAGCCTGTACTTTGAAAATAATTGAGAGAGTTTTGTGGACATAAGATAACCAGTATTTTTGTACAATTACCTGTTCCAAAGCTGTAGCAGAACTGCAGGGACATTACAGAAGCTTTACCAAATCAATTCTTTAAGTGGAGGGGGGGAAAAAAAAAAAGGCAATCTGGGCCTGCTCTGCAGTTTTTCCTCAAAAATCAGTGCCTGGCCCTAACCACTCAAATGCAGATCACTGGACAGCTAGAATCATGGAATGGTTTGGGTTGGAAGGGACCTTAAAGACCATCCAGTTCCAACCCCCCTGCCATGGGCAGGGACACCTTCCACTAGACCAGGTTGCTCCAAGCCTCATCCAGCCTGGCCTTGGACACTTCCAGGGATGGGGCATCCACAGCTTCTCTGGGCAACCTGTCCCAGTGCTTCACCACCCTTTCCAGGAAGAATTTCTTCCTGATGTCTAATCTAAACCTCCCCTCCCCCTAGTTATATTGCTAGCTTCACAGTCCAACCGCTTCCTCCAATTGTCTCAGCACAAGATTTCCAAGTGAATTTGTTGTGGACTCAGGTAGGGGAAAACATGCAAGTGTTCAAGCCCAGAAGAATCTGAGGGCTGGAAATCCTAGTTTCATCACAGCACCTCCTCACAGAACTGAGGAAGGCTTTTTAGATCTGTCAGCAACATGATTTGTCACACTCCTTTCTTTGGCATTTCCTATTAACCACTGCAGGTAGCTCCTCTCGGTGAAGAGCTGACTGGTGTGGCTCTTCTTCCTAGGTACTAACACTCCCTCTACGCTACATGGAATGCTCTGGCTTAAGGCTCTGCAAATAGCCTAGCTGTGAAGAGCATACAAATGAATCAACATGCTCTCTAACAAATTTCTTAAGTAACCTGTCTTCTAATCCCTCTCTGTTTCTGAAAAGTTGAGATAACAGCATTCCTCTCCTTTCCAAGGGCGGTAGCTACTGCCGGTTGAAAGGTGCTCAAACATTTTGGCAATGGAGGCTGTATGAGAACTCCAAATAGGTTTGAAATGCTTAATAAGGACAGGACTCTTAGGGCAGAACAGATCTCCTTGTAGTGAGATGTGTCCTGGGACCTTGGTGCAGCAAGCTTATAAGGAAAAATGTTGTGATTTTACATACCACAACCTCTTTTAATACAAAAATCCAAACGTTACAAAGTGAGGTACGTATAAAAATGTTAATATGCTGTATATAATGCAGATCTTATTATAAAGAGGAAAACCACTAACGTAAATCACTAAACAAGGCTCTTGCTGAGTGATTTAGGAGATAAAGCATGGCAAATTAAGGCAAACACTTCTATTCATGAGAACATACATACAGAGCACTAAAATACCAGAATTCCTCTTTCATTGGCCCTCATCATGAATTTAATTTATTAAATACTATCAGAATTCTTTAATAAAAACAAGACGACAAGTTAATTTCAGTACACAATGAATTGCTTTTTCTAGGCAAGATGCCAGGTGTAGTTAACTCTGGCAGTTTCATCGACATCTCATTCACGTAATATTAACACTGGTAGGTCTTACATCCTTCTTTTATTTCACTCCCTGCGTCCTGCTTCTCCTCCCTGAAAGCCCATTCACCTGGAAACAAGCTAATAGAATTTCACATATAAAGCGTAAAGTATTTCACGCAGGAGACCGAGAGAAACTTACTCCAGCAATCTGGTGTGATTGAGCTGATGGGAGGGGGGCATACGGCAGCAACTGAAGGTAATCACCTTCCTTCCAGAATTGTCATCACCTAGTGAACAAAACAGTAAAGACAACGTTCATTTACGTAAGCAGTGGGGCCTCGGTGATCTGAAGGAATGGCTTGTACCTTCTGATATTTGGGGCTACCTGTGTATCTCTCTCATCATTACCCAAAACATACTGCGAAACTTCACTGTCAAATCACGTTGCCTACAGAAAACAACTTGGCCACCCCTGCAGTGAAATGAAGCAGCTGCTGGGCAAAGGAGGAAGCTGAGCTTAGAAAGTCATAGTCAGAGATGGTTGGAGGTGCTCAGCTCCAGACAGGGAACACTTAAGTCCTTCTGCAGCATTCAGTTGGGGAAGAAAACAGGCCTGCTTCCCCTAGTAGTCTTGGAAGTGACCTGTTTTCAAACTCTTCATGCCTTATTTCTGGTTTATTTATCAGAATACTGCTCTGCCCACAATCCCTTTGGATATCTTCTTTGCCACATACCTAAGTCAGGTTTTTAACCAACTTAAGGTTTCTTAGATACTCTTTTCCAGACGCACCGCTACATTCAAATCACATTTAAAACAGAACAAGCAAGGCATAAAACTATGCTTTTCATAACCTGAAGATCCCCAAGTGTCCATCCCTTAGTCCCTCTGGACTGAGCATATATTGCTGCACTCAAGTTCATTTACTCCTTGACTCACATCAGCTTCACCCACACTGTCTGCACAGACAAGGTTGGTGTTCGTGGCATGCCACCCCACGCCCAAGTTCCACGACCTGGAAAGCCAGACTCAGAGGTTGTCATACTGAAGAAAATTCAGTGCTGAAGATGGTGAGGTGTTAAGGTTTTTTCATACCTACATGAAAGACACCGCTCCTTTTAAAACAATACAGAAACATCCCAGAAAATGTTTAGACTGAATTCATATTTTAGACATTCTCAGTCTAATTTCAATGGTCAGACTAAATGATAATTAATCCTTGCTTCTACTGCCACTAAACATCAAAGTTTGGCTTTGATATCAGTAGGAGTACAATAAAGTTGAGAACTGCGAGTTATTTAGGTGTTCTTCATAATTCTGTTATTCCCCTCCCACACCTAATTAAGTAAGTAGCTGTAATGAATAACCAAAGAAAATGGGGGAAGTTAAATCTGTAATTGAGTAACCTAATAAATAAATAATAGCATATGAACATTTCTATGAAAACTGGGCAGAACAGCTTCAGACCACTTCTTGAGATGTTCTTCTTCTTAAGCAGTTGTATTACCAATGCTGGTTCAAATTACTTGATCTAAACAAACAACATTTCTCAGATCTGCAAACACACATTTTCCGTGAGAACCTACCACTTGTAGGAATATGCTTTTCTTCATTCAACTCAGAAAGAGGTGGCTGCCCTCACCTGACAGAGTCCATGCAGAGAAAAAAAAATCCTATATTTGCTTTGTCCTGTTTCTACCAGCTTGTGCTCAACAGCAATTACAGAGGCCATGATGAGACAGCATCTTTTTAAACCCAGTAGAGGTTAGGTGTGGGAGGGAAGAGGAGAGATTAACACTTAATGACTTTTCATGTATGAACACTGGGACACTTCTGCATTATCATTTCCAAGCCTGTGTTATGATCAGGAACTACACCAGCTATTCCTTCTATTGATTCGTTGAGCTCTATCTTAAAATCCAGTTAGATTTTTCTGTTTCTTGCTCCTCGTGCTCGCTGTTTTGACAGCTAGCATCCTGCCTTCTCAATTCTAGGAGTCATAGCAAGTTTTCACCAATTTGTTCGTGTGACAATGACACCACTCAGCTGACACAGTGCTTCTCTTTCCATCCTGAAGGACTCCCTAGACAATAATCACATCCCCTTCTCATCCTGTATTTTACTGCTAATAAACAAGTTAGATCCTCTATCTCTTTTAAGAGTCTCCCTTCCCCGACCTAGCTATCTTCTACCCTGCTCAAATCCGAACACATCTTTCCTAAAACACGGGTGATGAGTTAAATAATAAACTGCAGATGAACATCATACACAGGGCTTAAGATTTCCCAATACCAACATCATCGTCTTTACTGAAAACCACGATGAAGTATTGTCATTTAGTATGACAGCTATAGTTGGATTATCTCCGATGTCCATCCCACACTAATTTCACTTCTCTCCTTCTCGTTTTATTTATACAACCAAAGAACCTCCTGCTACTTGCTTTAACATCCTTTAAAGACCTAACCCAGCTTGACTTTTGGCAATTACCACTTTAGTCCTGTCCTTTTGACTTCCAAAACATAGCTTTCTCTGCTGGCTTTTTCTTTCTTCCTGTTCCTTTTTGGCTGACTGCTTGTTTTTATTATCTTTCTCAGAGGTATTTTTTTCATCCCATAAGGTCTGGTACCCCTTCCCACATTAAAAATAAATTCTGACTCCTGTGTTAACTGCTTCAGCACCACTACTAACGGAAGAATATGCACAATGACATAGTTATACGCACTCGGGTATGTCTGCACATTGCTTTTAAACAGACCATGATTTTATTTCTTCAAGTTATTTTTAAGTGTCTTATTTGATATTCTCAGAGTACTTACAGAGGCATTATAATGTGACATGCATTAATATGAAAGGTACTAAAATGAAATTAAAGCATTAATAAAAGGTTGGTCTCTAAATGATAACTCATTTGTGAAAAAACTGCTGTGTTTCAATGCACTGTAGAATATTTTATTTGTTAGAGGCAATAATTTTTATGAGCAAAATGAATATAAGAAAGGTTTCCAGTTAAATTACTAAATGAGTCTCTAATTGTTCCATTTGGTCACATCTGACTGCCTGCATTAAAAGGCAGAAAAAAATAAACATCTTTATAAAAGACTGCAAATACACTTAGAACATAAAAAGGCATAGTTGCCTGGTTTCAGTAATGGGGAAACTGAGGCAGAGAAACTTTCTTAAAATTACCAGCAGAGCAGAGTCCCTCGTTCTCCCACCCCACAGTGCCACAAGGCAACAAGAGCAAACCAGAAAAGGTGACTGAGAACCTCAACTCATCGAATCACAGAATGGTTTGGGTTGGAAGGGACCTTAAAAACTATCCAGTTCCAACCCCCCTGCCATGGGCAGGGACACCTTCCACTAGACCAGGTTGCTCCAAGCCACATCCAGCCTGGCCTTGGACACTTCCAGGGATGGGGCATCCACAGCTTCTCTGGGCAACCTGTCCCAGTGCCTCCCCACCCTCTCCGGGAAGAACTTCTTCCTGACATCCAATCTAAACCTCCTCACTTTCAATTTAAACCTGTTACCCCTTGTTCTGTCACTACAGGCCCTTGTAACAAGTCCCCCCCAGCTTCCTTGTAGGCCCCAACCTGTGTAAGTGCAGTTTGAAGACCAAAGTGGGAAGTGGGTGTTATCTGCACATTCAAAGGAGAGTGTAATTTCAAGTATCCAGATTTTAAATCAGCACAGAGTATATTTTTATCCCATAAAATCTGTATTTCCCTATGACTTGGGAGTTAAACAAGTTAGAACTGAAAGATGTCTCTCTTCTTTGCTTTGTTCCCTGTAGAAAATACAGGGAATCCCATAAAATCTGTATTTCCCTATGACTTGGGAGTTAAACAAGTTAGAACTGAAAGATGTCTCATTTTCTACAGGGAACAAAGCAAAAAAGTGCAATACCAGCTTTGGTCCTTGATGTTTCGCTTCCAAGTCAAAAGTTTAGCTTCATAATAAGCTACTTTATTTCACAGACTAATCTCATCTCACCAAACACATTTAGATGAAAGCTGATAACCTGTTCTACCCTCCCTGGAAAACGTGCTCCTCCCCTTATCTTTCTGCACTGGTTTTGAGCTCCAGATATTCAGAAGGCATTCCCAAAGACTGAGCGCTTTAACTGCTCGGGCGCTCACACTCCTCTAGCCACCTACCTATGGCCTTTTTACAAGTCACTGGCTCATATTCTGCTTTCGTGCAGAGAAAAGGTCTGACAGACTTCCCTCGCCCATGGGTAGGGCTCCTGACTTCGGATCAGGCAGTGGCTATCGTGCAGACGCACTGCCAGGCAGCCTCAGGATTATCAGCTGTGCTGGCTGTGCAGCAGCTGCTGGGAGCACAGCACAGCGATGCCAGCCGCCTCCTCTGTGCTCAGTGAGTAAAGAGGGGTGTGCACAGCACGCTGTCCAGAATGAGATTTATGCACATTAACATACAAGTTATCTGCTGGGGTTTTATTTGCCTGGATTTTACTGAAATAGGCTTGACTCATACATCGCTTCTGATATCAAACTTTGCAGCAAGTTACAGCGAGACATAGGGAAGGGCAAATGGGGAAGGGGATCGTTCTACTTTTAATTAAGAATGTGGATGGCACAGCACTTCCTAACTGCTTCTTGAAAATGACAAGGTTTTTTCTCATGATCCAGCTCATTCCCATTTGGAAATGAGATCTTTTGAATGCTGTAATCTTAGCATGACTTTTTAAGAGATTTTGTTCTGATGACAGTAAACATTACTAAGTGAAAAGTGAAATATCATTTTCCTTCACTGAAGCTTGTTATTATCACATTACAGCCAAGCAAGATCCTAAAGTCAACAGAAGTTTTGCCATTGGTTCCAACGGGAGCAGAAGCAGTGTCAAAATCCCGGGGATTTGCCACAACAGTAAAAACACACATTTGTTTCTTTCATAGAATTTAAGAAGCTAGAGAAAATGGGGCTAAACCTCAATTAAACTACACGGCGAGACAAACTGTGCTTCCAAGCCTCCTTCCACTCTCTACGACGTCGGGAAATAAGGGATCACCAAAAAGCCATTATGAAACTTCCGTGTTTTGCTTAGACCAAGTAATGGACAGTAAATACACCCACAACTAATCTACCACAGGTCTCTGCCCATCCATACTGGCAAACCTCTTAGTCAGTTAAGATACACACAGCAAAGATAACACAGCTGGGTCTCAACATTCACAGGAGAAGCTTACACCTTTGGCTGTGGAGATTTGAGTCCTCTTTCTCCTGGCATGATCACCTCAGCCGATGACATGAAAATGACATTAC